CATCTGTTGTTAACCTGGTCTAAGAAGCACTACAATGCTTCTTCTCTGCTGCTTTATGTTCATATATTCCTCTCATGTGCACTTGCTTTTTCTTTGCTTTCCTGTGACAGTAGTTATATATATTTCAGCACAGGGGATTATTGTGGCCTTTGATGATAGCAGACAAAGTATTTTTCATTGCTTTGGGTCCTATCTTAGGAGAGAAAACAAGCTATTGCTGCTCAGTCCACCTGTCAAAAAATAGAAGCATAACCATAGATAATCCTTATGAGAATTCACCCAGAAAAAAAGATATTAGAGACTTTTGCTGTGTAGTCAGCTTCCCCTTGCTTTTCCCACATCATCTGAGGAGAGAAGTGGAAGAGCAAAACAAAAGGGCAAAAACTAAAGATAAGTGCTTTTAAGAATCATTTTTAAACTAACATACCAGATGTGCTCACTGGCTGCTTTTTGCCTTGAGAGAATTCTTTTCACCTTGTGAAGCCGTTTTCAGAAATCTTGAGAGTTCTATAATCCATGGAACTTCTCAAAACCGTACCTATGATCAGGTGCACACATGGGAAATCAAATGCTACCATCCATTCCAGCTGCTTCCTCCCACTGTTTGAAAAATGTGTGCAGGATCCTCTCAACAGTGTGAAATTACTCCCCTGGGTGGGCAGAGAAAAGGCACTCAGCCAAAGAATGTCACCTGGATTACACTCAATGTCCCCTCATTTGTCATGACTCTCCTGCACAGCACAGGCACAATTTATAGAAATGTCATTTTTTTTGTGGTGCACTATAAACTGTTGTTGCTGATGCTGTTTTTTGTTGTCATGTTGAGAAACAACCTTGTAGCCTTCGGGATTGTTTTGCCAAGAATCCTTGTCCGTGCTCTCAGTTCCACTAACGATTTAGCAGTGTCTGGAAATAACTCTATCCGCAACTTTTACAGCCATTTACTTTTACACTCACAAAACCTTTTTTTTCTTCTAACTTTATAGATTTATAATAGGAAAACAGGACATTCATGCTCTTATTAATTATTTCATTTTTGTGAGGACTGACAATGCTTCTCTCTGTGTGTTCATTACACTTTTTAGTCTTTTTACAGTCGATTTGCAGAAAAATCAGGAAATAATCCAAAATAAAAATGCAAAGGGGTGAATAACAGAAATGTGTCCTTGTTGCAGACTGAGTGTGATTGGTATGACTGTCACATTGTGCCCCAGGAGTTTGAAGTAGAATTTCATAGAGGAAGCAGGGGAGGGTCTCTTTTGGAACTCTGCATTTGTTTTGAAGTTTGCTTCCAATTATCATGATTAAGTCACTTCCTCAGGGTAACATTTGGTATTTAATGTGAACATGTCACACACACTTCCAAAGCTGGTCCTCATTTATTCTGGACTACATTCTTGTGACAGTGTACTTTAAATATTTACTAGATCAAAGCACATCTTTATACAATGATAGGCACAGTATTTAAAGTATTTGAAAAAGGATATTCTTTCATGTTGACTATGTCAGAAAAATAGTTGTATATATTTTAATAAGGTAGTGGCACACGTGCCGGGCGTTACTAAGTCATATCCTCTCATCGCTAATAAAACTACACTATGTGTCTTGAATCCCCACAGTCTTTATTGGCTGTGCTTGCGTCACCGTTAAACACCACTCAAGTGTGCTCAGTTCGTGCCAAGTGTGTTATGATAATTAGGTATGCTTGTTTTCTGTTATGTATATCTATATACATATAGATATGTCTAATTTATTAGCATGTAGCAAAACAGAGGGTTAAATGGTTTCTGGGAAAAGCGTGTGTGTTTGTTTTAGTGCTCGCTTCTTCAACAGGAAGAAAAAGGATTTGGTATTAGGGTTACATTTAAATTTAAATTCAAATGAGGGATAAGGTAAGGGGTTGTAGACATACATTACATCAATAACTATTCTCACTGGAGGACCTCAGTAACACAAACATGTGTTTGTGTATTTGTGTTTGTGTGCATCACAGGCACACATGTTAAATCTGCATGCACAAATGTGTCACTGACTTTGGTGTCTCAGTGTGCACATCTATGTTTGCACTGCAATCTGTCTGTGCAGTTATGGAGCCTTGCCGAGCTTTTCTGTGGGTGTTTTACTGGCTGTCACTCCAGCAATCTATCTTGTCTCCTCACCCAGCTGCCGATTTGCTACAAGCTACACAGGGAATTTGCTCAAGGGATTACACTCTGGGTTTAAGCCGGAACCTGACAAATTATATTATTTATTTCATCTGAGCAACACAATAACCATCCATTACTTTTATATATACTTTTTATACTGTATCTCTTTACTCAGAAAGGATCTACAATAGGATGGTTAATCAATTGAAATTAAACAGAATTATTGTATGTTAAAGTCAATGTGAAAAATGTACAAGAATTGATGAAAGAAAAAAGTTTTGTCTGCTTTCTAAAAACTGACATGTATGTAGTCAAACATGTATTTAGTTTCGTGGGTCGTGAGGAAAATTTTTAAAAACTAAACTAAAAAATATGTAGGGCGGCAGAATGTTTTTAGAATGATGAAAATATTTAACTCAGACTAACAAAAAAAATGTTCTCTTTGCCTTGATTTCAGATATTCACATTATTCCATCAGACAGGTAAATATAAAGGGTCAGTGGTCATTGCACAGCCTTACCATATGTTTTACATGCCTTTCTATTCCCAAACTGCAGCTTCGCTCTCAGAGGATGATGTTTGAGGCAGGTTTTTGCTCCACAGAAACACTAAAAATGTCAGTAGAGTTGTTTTATTACCATGCAAAGGTAATAAAACTATCTTCTCTTTATGCCCCGGGTTTGCGTTTACTATCTCTTTATGGATCCTCGCTTATTCCAGAGTATATATCAGTCTTTATTGTATTTCATTATACATTCACAATTTTTTTTCCAGAAGAGGAAGGCAACAAGTTGAAGCACAGACAGCTACTGTGTTAGTTACAGTGTTGGCATAATTACATAAGATACAGAACAAAAGAAGACATTGATAAAGAGCACAGCTGCTTGCATTTAACTGCCAACCATATGGTGGTCGGGCAACAAAGTGTATTCAGCTGGAGACCTCTACAACTCTGCTGTAGCAAGGACAGAAAGTCATAGAAAGAAAGTCCTTCCTGCCATCACAATACACAACTCCCCTCTGGGCAAGGAGAGGAGGCTGAATGACATGTGAATGACAAAGGACATTTCATTATAGTTTAACATCATACTCGACACTCTCAATATTAGCAAGTGATACTAAATTGCACATCCTGAATATGCGCACAGTTGCACTTGAGTATACATCTCAGATTTGTAAATATGCTTTTGTAAAAAGAAGAAAGAGGACATTTTAGTACATTATACGTTAGTTTGTGTAAACATGTCTGGTCTGTAAATGTTTGTATCTATCTATCTATTTATTTATCTATCTATCTCTCTATCTTTGTATCTATATGATGCTCATGCTCTGCTGGGGTTTGCAGTGCCTCTTACATGACAGAACATACAATGGGACGACCCTCAACAACAATATGTGCTGTACATTTCATTATTCTTTCCATCATTATTTTCTCATCCCACAGCCAGGATTTATTTTCATGTATGTTTTCAATACATTGAGTCATGCTGGTCTCCTAAGACAGCCAGTGATTCACATTACACTAGATTACATAATGTTACACTATCTATATTGTGTCACGTCTACAGCAACTTACAGGCTCCTCCGAGGGTCTGCAGTAATCAGTGTGGTCTTTATCAGTACGCTGGAATGTTAGTTGTGTTAATGCACAGTGTTAGTTTAATGACATCAGCTATTACTGCATCATGCAGTCATTAACCAGAGCTACAGTAGAAGCCACTGGAACAGACAACTGGGTTAAAGGCTTAGAATTAGTCCTTGTGTTAATCATGGTATATTGTTAACATTATAATACTAAAATAAAACCTTGGTCAGACCTGCTCTTTTAGTCGGCAGTGGCTGAAATGTTTCAGTGGTGTATTGATGAACGATGCGTTTGGTGCCGTGACACTCAAGTTGACCTGGTTGCTAGTACTGACACAACAGAAATAATTCACAAGAGAATTACCCAATGAGGCACTCTAATATTTAAGAAGAAACCCCTGAGCAAGAAGGAATTACACACACATTTTTAAAAGTGTCATTTTGGAGCCCATTTACTGCACATTCAGGGCATATTTACTGCAAGAAGTCGCAAACAGTGCCACGTTTTATTGAGTCGTGTGACGACAGAAGCACAAGGATAGCCACTATTCAGTTTAAAGCTTTGGAAATCACACCTGAAACACTGGTTAATACTGTTTCTCTCTGAGATGTAATTTGAAAATGTAATTTGGGAGACCAGTTTTCCGTTGTTACGCCATTTTATAAACGCAGTTACTTAATTTTCTGTTGTTAATTTGTTCTTGATGATGTACTGTCTTTGAATTTAAATGTAAACATTCATACATGTGGATGTTTGCCTGTGTAACATTTAGTAACATTTGCTCCTTAACACTGTGACATTCCAGAGTCTCAGAAGTATTACATCATTTACCAAATGGTATCACTTTTTAAATTTACATGCAAAATATCAATGTTAAATGTCTACAAACAATGGATTTAATCTTCCTGTCTGTTACAGTAACTAAACAGACATATATATAGCTTTTAATTAAATTTTTATTTGAGTTATTTGGTCATAAAAATCTGAAGTCTTGTGGTTTTATTATTATTTTCACTCAATTCATGGATTTACATTTAACAGATAGAGCACAGAATATATCTTTTGTGACTTTTAAGTTTTGCTTGTATCCAAGATTTGTTTTATATTTCTAGGAATTCTTCATGCTATATGCCCGGTGTTTCCCAACCCTCTCCAGGAGTACCCTAGTCCTGCATGTTTTAGATCTCTCCCTGCTCCCACACAGCTGATTTAAGCAGCTTCAGCAGTTCATAACGAGTTGATCATTTAAATCAGCTGTGTGGGAGCAGGGAGAGATCTAAAACATGCAGGACTAGGGTATTCCAGGAGAGAGTTGGGAAACAGCCTTCATAAAATGTAGTTTAGCAACTGAGGACTAATATTTTTTTTCTGCTTACTGAGAGGAAGTATTTTGGTAGATTCAATTAAATGTATGATTACTATTATTAATTATCCTGTCATTACAGTTTTATTTGTGTCAGGAGGGGCTTTGCTTTCTCCCCTATCCTCATGTTTCTTGTGTTTCCCTCTCCTTGCTGTCTTTGTATGTCTCTGTCTGTCAGTCTGTGTGTGGTTGTGGTCGGGTCATCCTGGCTACCTCTCTCCAGCTCACCACCTGCAGCTCCACTCACCTGAGGCTCATCGGCAGTCAACCCACTCTGTTAAAAACCCCGGCTCTACAGTCCTTCCCTGCCAGTTCGTCAGTTAACCTTCAGTAGTAACATGCATTTCGGTCCTCCGAGTATTTCTACTGCCTTAGTGATTTCCTTGTTGCCTTTTGCTAACATCTTTTTCCTCTGCCTGTCTTCAGTGTACCTCAGCCGTGTTTGGAGTCACTGCCTTTCTGTCTGGAGAGAGCCCAACTTTTTTTGCAACTTTTCCACGCCAAATCTAAGAACCCCCGCTCCATCCTGCCCGCTCGCCTTTCACCCAGTCCTGTATTTAAAAAAAAAACCTGAGTTACCGTTCATTTGCTTCCTTGTCTGCTTTTGGATCCATTAAACTGAAACTTAACCTAAGTTGATCACAAATAAAATAAAGTTTCCTTTATTTTTAGAATTTCACTTTAGAACAGGCTTGTAATTTCACATACAATACATTAAAACGTATTTTATGTAATTTATCTTGATTTACATTTATTGTGGGCTTGTGTATTGTTACCTATTGTTAGGAGTAGTATCCGCCAGGTGGAGCTTTTGTGTGGAGTTTGCATGTTCTCCCTGTGTCTATAAGGGTTTACTCCAGGTTCTCAAGTTTCCACCCACAGTGCAACTTAGGTGAACTAAAATTGAAAGGTGTGAGATTGATTAATTTCTACTCTGTCCAGGTCGTACCCTACCTCTGACCCAGTAAGAGGGCTTCCAGTCCCCCTTGGCCCTGCACACGATAGAGCAAGCTCACATGATAATGATATATTTATTATTTTTCCAGTAAAAAAAATCCACCCATGATTTTGCATTTTATATCATGAAAGAAGCATAACTTAAAAATGTCTGGGTATTCAATCAATTCTACATCAGTAGGCCTTTCCCAGGTCCTGCAGAACAATATCTGCAGGCTGTCATTATATAAGCAGCTGCCCTCGCCAACACATGTGTTCAGTGCCCCTGCTGTGGAGACTTGGAGTTTGAGTTTTCTGTTTGTGCATCACATGTATATTCTTCACACTGTCAGCTCACCACTGAAGTTTGCATGTATTTAAATTAACAACTGTAGTATTCCATGTTCATAAATACCACCATGCCAAGTCTAGTTATAGTTTCCAGCATAATGGCCTACATGTGAGTTTGTACGGGAATGTACAGCATGTCAGCAACCACAACAATTAAACTAAGCTACAGAAACAGTTAGTCAGACAGTCTAGTTAAAGACAATGAATCTGTTGTCAATTTGTACAGTAGCGATGCATAGTTACCTTGGCAATGGACAGAGGCCATTAGTGGGTGGGGAGAGGCAATGGGCCAGGAAGAGCTTTTGTTGCATTGTGAGATTTGATTTGCTAGAACATGCAAGTATCACTGCAGACTGCTTAAGAAGAGTTCATCTGCGAAAACCAAACACTATTCTTCAAATAAATATAACCAACACCGGTTTTAATGTATATTCACTTGAATGTACAAAAAACGTGAATATGGAAAAAATAGAATGAAAATAAAAATGGATGAAATAAAAACAGAGATATGTTTTTTGCAAATGAACCCTTCTTATGTTTCAGACAAGATTTGTTTGTACTTGCCTTTGCCCTGCTCTAACCCCAATCAGATAACTAAACCCACAGGACATTATCAGATAAAGACAAATCTCAGGTGTCCCTCCTTGCAGTCTTAAATGCTTGAGGAAGCATATGGGACCCCTCAGAAATAAGTGGTAACAAATGTCCCCCCCCACCCCCATTTTTTGTAACAATGGATCAGTGTTGTTGAGCGGAAACATTTGCAGCAGCGCAGCAGAGCGGTGGTTGTTTCTCAAGCTGTGATCTAAGCCAACAGATCTTAAAAGCTAAAAAAGCCCCTCTCCATCATCAATTAGTCGGCATCAATAGACTTTTATGACAACTCAAAACATATGCATGAGACAAACTGCACAGCAAATCTTATATTTATTTATCCATACATTTCATTTTCTTTTGTGCACATTGATTAATGCCATTCCAAATCTAAAAGAGGATGGAACATTGATTTAAAGGCATGGCTATCCATCATATTTATGATGCTCTTACATTTTCAATTGCCAGCACGTTTTAAAGATTATTTAAGGAATACTCATTATATGTTTTTTTATCCACATGTTATTCATTTAAGTTCCACCTCTTCAGGATGGATGCAGGAGACCTTGCTGAAGCCTGCTGGGATCCGCTTATTATTGAAAACAAATCTGGGCCTCTCTCAAAGCGAAGCATCTCATGCTGGGAGTGACCCAGAAAAGACGGACACAACTATGACCTCAGTCTCTGCTGAATCAGCTTTATGTTACAGATATCATGATCCGTTTCCTGCTGTCAGCTGCTGCTTTTCACTCACTGAAGTAGATGTGAAATCAGTCAAAACATCAACATGGTCAGTGTGTAACATTTGTTTGACTTAACCTGAGTTGAGGTACTGTTTCTTTCTGAATTTTCTTGAATTCTGAATTCTTACAATTCATATTACTTGTTTGAGTGATGGGGAGTAACAGATACTGATTAAAAAAAGGTATTGTAGACATATAATTACAGTAAAAAGCGTTGGTGTCATCTGAAAGCATACTTTAAAATTAATCAAACTGACTATACACATACAGTAAGTGCATCAACTTTGAATTAACAGTTCCTGCTAACACAGGAAATTGCCCTTGATGTTTAATTATTTCGTACTTACAGTTTGTGACATGTTACCACTACTGTGGTTCTGTGCCCGGTGTCATGCATTCATCATGTTTAACCACCCTTATTTAATGCTTGCATGTGGAGGTGCTGAAATGCCTTTGCTAGAAAAACTATACACTGCTCAGGGGCTTTGGAAATAATATTTTCTTCATAATTGGAGCCCGAACTTGGCAAATAGCGGCTCACAACCTTTCTGCTTTTACTGACGGATTTCAAACATCAGGGTGTACTTGGGTATTGATGGTAACAAAACGCACATTCAGAGTTTCCACATTGCGTCAGATGCCTCTGAAAGAAAAATCACTTCAGTGTAGCTCACTGACTGTTACCCTAACTTAAAATTTAAACAAGGCAGATGACAATACCAGGCTCTAGTATCTGTTTATCACTGACATTTTGTCACCTATACAACTTCATCAATAATGTATTTGACATTTAGCCTGTGCAGGTTTTCCAGGACTATGTGTTTTTGTCACATTACTGTATGCTGGTGGGAAAGTTAGAGGACTAGATGGGAAACAGCTTAATGTTCAGTAGCCAATGAGTTTTATTGCCCGGCAGGGAATACAGCATGCACGTTGTCCAGTCCAAGGAAATTATGTTCATTATGTTGCATAAACCCCATAGATCAGAATGTGAATGCTTTTACTTTATTTCTTTTAAAGGCCAACTTAATATCTTAATACATTTCATGAGGTAACTTCATCCTGTATTGTCAGTTTGGCGTGCTTTGTTTTCTTCAGCTGCAGCATCTGGCGTATTTTACAAGACAGATGAAAGATTGTGAATATAAGCACAAAGGCAGCGTCCACCCATCTTTATCCATCCATCTTGGTTGAACTGTGGAGGTCTTTGTGTACTGTATATACCAACATTACACAAAGAACATTATTGTTCCACACATGGTTCTTCAGGTTGTTGATTGGTTCTGCAATTATTTTCCCATGAAAAGAGCATGCGAGGTAGAATGTGCTGCTGAGTCACTGCTGCACGTGAGATAAACACAGAGATACACAGGGCTTTCCCCAGAATTCCTGCCTGAGTCTGTTTTCTGTGTTATTGGCTAAAATTTGTAATGTATGCACTAAATGCCCAATATTGAAAGGCAATGATGGTGGTCCATTGTTGTGTGCTTTCAGAAGAGCCCAGAAAGGTACTGTTGATGCTTTGTTTTTCTTAAGTAAATAATTAGCACAGATGTGGTGTGTCTGCATTTGCTTACATTTGCTGCCTGCAGCCTAACCAAGTAGTTGATGCAAAAAGTGCATTTGGCCATCAATTGGAGAAAATATGGGTGGTTGGAACATAGTGAGCATACAGATGAACAGGAAAGAAGTAGATTGTACTGCAGGTGTAGACTTTCTTCGGTGGGGAACCATGTCACTGTTGGAAACAATTGTCAGAGACATGAATTCAAGCGGACAGCTGCTGTTCTCTAAAGGGACAAAACATAACATTTTAAATTATTTTGGGGGGTAAATTTTTGCATGTGTTTGAGATGCATTATTATAGAGATAAAAAGAAACTACTGTAGGGGGAAAGAGATGGAGGAAGACATCCTGACTACAACCAGAGACGTTGCAATTATGTTCAGCATATTGGACCCAAGGGCCACCAGGACACTACAACATCAAATAAAGTATGATGTTTTCTACCCTACTGAAGTTGAATATTTAATAATATAAAATGAATATGATATGATAGTAAGATTGATAAAATAAATTATTTTATAATTTAATAATATATGTTGATTGTTTGTTATCGCTTTAAGTGGAGTTATATTGACATATTTGGAAGATTATATCGCAATAAACCCCACTGAATATATCATCTTGTTTTCAGCAGAGCCCTAAAGTTGTCACACATTTGGTTTTAATATTTATGTTGACCTTTTGCAGTTATTATATTACAAATTGTAGCACCGAAAGACAAAAAGAAGATTCTAGGCCCTCTTACTGTTTGGAACAATCCCTCTTTGCCTCTTTCCCTCTCCTCACCCCTCCAGTGTCCTCATTACCCTCCTCTGTAGGGAACATGTGGAAGCCATTGTCATGTTGCAGTGGAGACCCCAGAACAGGGAAGCAGCTAGAGGCAGCTGCACATCACAGTATAAATGGCCACGCAGTCAGCCAGGTTGATTTAGAACAGAGATACACTCAATAAAGCTGTAAACGGTTTCAAGGGCAGGACAGGAGAGATGAAAATACTTGTTGTGTTCATGACCCCCCCGAGTCATGTGTCCAATTCACATCTCCCTTTGCACCATTGTGTATGTTCTATATCGTTTTGTGGCCCACCGTTCTTTTGTATTATTAAATCACACTGTTTTTTGTATAGTAATATTCATCATTCAGAGAAGAAGGGATGTGTAAGGGGACAAATGTGACAGTGAGGAAAATGAAAGAGCATGGGCATGAAGACAGCATTACATAGCCATGCTATAAAAGAGAGCTGCTACTTTTCCCAGAACACAGCAGTGTTGGACAGCTATGGCTGAAATCTAACCCTGCTTGGATCTGATTGCAGAACAAATTCTGGACTGTAGCTTCTGTGCTATATATTTCATTACACTTGGGGAAAAATTTTCCTTTTTTGTCAGAAACAATGTATCCTGAGCTTTGCACAGAGGGATACATCTGTGATCTTTAAGTTGGCAACAAATGCAGTTACAGTGATTTCCACTATTTCCAATTTATTGCATTTTGTATAGGAAAACAAATGAGCTCTGTGCAATAGGTTATGTCACTGCTACAGGACACAGGAGAGCAGATATCTGCGACCCATTCAAAAGTCACCATTAACCTTGCACGATTCTTCCATTGTTGC